TTACTTTCCATTCTCTTTGTTTAATAAAATTCTGATACGATCGTAATCAATATCACGAGAAAATAAGATAGTTTAGTTTAAGAATTACCGACAATTCTAAACAATACAGGTATGGCATGCATGTAAGGTATCGTATTTAAAAACGAACTAAATAAATTCAACGAGGAAATAAATGAAACATTTTACTCGTATAATGGTAAATCGTTAAGTTGTTTCGCAGTAAAACTAGTCAATGACTAATTAGAAATCATACCACTTTAATATCGGTTAAACAAGACGGAAAGTTTTACGCAAATACGTTCGATGAATTTTAATAAGTTACAAACTTGCTACGCATTTTTTATCGTTGCATTCCTTTAAATTCGATCTGCGACGTCATTTAATATGTAATTACCACATATGTGTGTAACCATAGTTGAAGCCAAGGAGAGGAAAATATCAACACGTTCTCGTTAATATTTTTATACTTTTCTTTTCTATCGATCAAACTGATCAAACTAACGTCGTCATTAATGCATAAATAATCGTATCTCTGACATTCTAATAAGATTAAATGTAAACTTTGATCTAGGCAAATGCAAAATATAGATCTTATTTATTCTTAAAAGATTAAATAGTTCATGTAATAAATAATAAACACGTTCATTCACAGAGATGAGACTTCTTTTATCCTAGTCGAGCTAGTTTTCCTTCTCTTATTTCAATTTATTAGCTCTTCTACGATTGTCCTAGATAATAAAACAGCAAATACGCAATAGGACTTGTCGCAAGAACAAGTTTTCCCAAGCTAGGAAAGGTAAGCATGGATCTCACGGTGTGAGATCTCTTCCAACGCTCCTATTCCAATGTCGCTAGGAATCGTCAATCGATCTTAACTTACATTAAGGTGGGAGGAAACATCGATGTAAAGTGGGGAGGGAATCTGTTGGAATTCGAAGGGCGAGCCGATCGAAAGGGAAATCGATCTGCAAAGTCCTCCTCTCTCCACACATTCGAAGATTTTATGAAATATCGACAAAAAATTAAGTATATAATGTATATTTTCGTTAATTTTACTCTACATATTCGAAACGTTTTGTTAATAAATATTAATGATGGGTGGTGCGTTTTAATCGAAGGGAAGGTTCGATGTTCGTCGTACACTCATACACGTATACATACATATATGTATGCAAATGTGCATTCTTTGCATACGCGTTCTTCGCTTTCCGATACATATGTAATACGTAATGCGTGTCCTTATCCGTTTCACGTGTTTTATAGAATCTAGGTCGTTTCGCTCTAGAAGTAGCCAATCGATGCACTTTTCACGTTTTCTTTTCGAGATTGATATTTATTTTCTTTTTTTTTTGTTTTCTTCAAAAGTCCTATGTAAAAAGTCTATTAACAGAAAATAAATATAAATAACACATAGAAATTTTCAGTAGAAAAATATTCAATGACCTATATCGATTTTGGATAAAAAAAAACTGCTTCTATCATTTTGATAGAATTTCGATTAGAATACCACCGGTGAGTCCTTAGATCGAGATAGATCGTTCGTTTCGATTTCGATCGATTCCTCGAGAAAGCGGAAGTGGATGAATGCTCGACAGTCGATCGATAAAACGAGACACCATAACCGGTCTCTCGAGTAGTATTGAAGTACTAGAACTATCAAACGATCTTGCTTTTATCGGTCATAGATCGTATTTACAATTTCGTTTTTTTTTTGAGATTTTAATAAGATCGAACATTTGCGTTTTGTACTTTTCATAGTTTTAATTATTTTCCATAAATAAAAAGAAAAATGACTGGCGTCGTTCGTTATTTCAGCTTGGTGAAAGAGGATAGACGCCATCGAGTCGGTTAAAATCGTTACGTAAATTGGTAGGATTACGTGGGTAGCAAGATCTGGATGCACGACTCAATTATATAGGGTGGCATCGAAATATCAATTCTTATATATTATTCCTAAGAGAAATATGAAATTTTAGAGCGAAAAAATATAATTTATGAAAATTAGAATTGAACAAAATTATAGAAAGGGTGGGAACAACAATTTTTTGTCCACCCCAATCTAAATTTGCAATTAACGTACATAGGTACCATATATGTAGTCAATGTAGGTATAACTAAATCGACAAAGCGTGATCGACGAAGCGCAACGGCGAATGTTGCAGCACGCTTCAAAGTACCAACCACCACCATTTACGTCGAACATTTATGTTAGCCACCGAAGATAAGCTAACGATGCGAGCGTGTTTTGAGAAAGCGATCGCGAACGCGGAAAATCTTTGACCACATCAACCCCCACGCAGTTTTATCGAATACAAAGTTTTAAACCTTTCATTTTATACCATTTACATTCGATTTAAATAATATCCACACACAAAAAATACATATGCACGAGTAATCATGAAAATGAATGATCAAACACATAAAAATAAAAGAATAATAAATAAATAAATAAATAAAATTAAAAGGAGAAGAAAATTTGTGACGCTTCAAGTCTCGTTTTCTTCGTCATCTTCGGTAGACGGAGAATCGGTTGGCGATTCGGTTGGCCATTTTCCAGCTGTTGCCGAAGGATCGATGGTTGATGGTGGATCCGTTATTACTATGGGACCTAATGGTTCTGTAGTTTGTGCTTTTTCACTGCCAACAGCTTCAGGTTTCATCGATACATCTTGCGAATTGATTGATCCTGGATCTGGCATCGGGGGTGTCAACTCGGTCGATGGCACAGTTGTTTTAATTTGACACTGACGACCCATATAACCGAGTGGACAAATGCATCTATAATAATAATTACGAATTTCATTGCTATTATAACATATGATCGATGTAATTTCGATATAAATTAAATGTCGAATTACCTGTAATCGCCGTCTTCCGGTGTCATGCTAACACAAGTACCATTATTTCGACAGACATCTGAGTTATCCTCGCAATAAGTTAATTTCTCATTGCAAAGATCTCCAGCCCAACCAGAATCGCATCTACATTCCCAAGGCCTTTTACAGAATCCATTCACGCATCCTGGATACGGGACGCATTCGGTACAATTTTGACCCGTCCAACCAACCCGACACCTACAGGTATCAGGTCGACGACATCCACCATGTTCCTTGCTACATCCTGCGGCGCAAATAGCTGCGAAAGCAAAATTAATTTTAACAATTCAAACAAGAAAGATGAACAAAACGTCGATTGATGGAAAAAAGACACTCACGAGTTTGACACAATAGCCCAGTCCAGCCAGGTTCGCATCGACATTCCAATGGTCCTTGACAAGTTCCATGAACGCATCCTGGTAAAACAGCGCACTGTTTGCATCTCGGTCCTTGCCACCCTAATCGGCATCTGCATTCAATGCATTTAACTTAGAAAAACTATTTTGTTAGGCAAAGCAAGCGTTGAAAAATACTTGATTTTTCGATACAGTAGGATACTTCATTACCGACAGATAATGATCTACGATCTATAATATACCTGCATTCTCCTGGCTTATTGCAATATCCTTGACTCGACAGGCAATCAGGAGCACAAATCGGTTCCGAACAGAACAATCCTTTCCATCCAGGATCGCAAGCACACTCGAAACTCACGTTACATCTGAACAAAACAATCGATAGTCGTTACAAAGAGAAATTACTTTCTCGATCGATGGTCACGATCGTTACCGGAAATCGATATAGCTCGCGTATCGTTACGAGATCGTTCAATGATATTTTTGAAGAAGAAAGTTCGGATTAGTATGCTACGTGCGCGAGTTTACCTCCCATGTTGACAACCAGGTAGAGCCACGCATTTGTCGCATAGTTCACCATAGAATCCGATTTTGCACCTGCATTCACCCGGACGTCGACAGAAACCTTGAAGGGGATCGCAACCTTTTCGACAAATTGGTACGTCGCATAGATCACCGGTCCAACCTATGTATGATTATCACGATGTAATCGACACGATATACATATGTTGATCAAATTTCATTTAATAATGAATTTACCTGACAAACATTTCACTTCACCGGCTTCGTCACAAACGTAATGAGAATTTGGATGTTGCGAAGCTGGGATCTCGCAAGCTTGTTTCTTCCATTTTGGAACGTATCTTTGTTGATGAAAATATTGACAAATACACAAATACACTTGGGTAAAAGAAAACGATTAGGAAAAAAAAAAAATTAAATTTGAACGTACCTAGGCCCAGCAGCTAGACCAAAAGGCGACGTAACGAGTCCAACGAAAGTTGTTGCCCCTATGGTAAGTCCATTGTTTATAGGAACAAGTTCACGATGGTGACCAATGAAAAGGGTTAAACAAGCAAGAAGAAGTATCATCTTTACTCGACTATCGAGTCAAGACTGAGGATGAAGACGATCAAGGCCTTGCCTTGAATAACGGGACCTTGTTCGAGGCCACGACATACTTTCCTGTAAGTGTGTGTGTGTGTGTGTGTGTGTGTGTGTGTGTGTGTGTGNTGTGTGTGTGTGTGTGTGTGTGTGTGTGTGTGTGTGTGTGTGTGTGTGTGTGTGTGTGTGTGCACGTGCGTGGATTCGTTTATTCCTATACGTATACGTCGACTCTTGTGGCTTTTACTATTCGTTTAGGAAAGGTCGATGAACCCTAAAGACGATCCTGAAAACGTACATCGTTTTTCGACTTTTTTATCCTCGTAGGATAAAACCGTTTTAACGGCAACACGAAGATTCTCGAAAGGAATTTCTTATTAAATATAAATAATTATACAAAAATATGTAATACATATTATATTTATGTATATTTATTTTGTTATTATTTTAAATTATTTACAATTATTTTATTAATTATGTACAAATAAATACATAGCTTAACATATCGACAAGAAATATTAAATCTCTCGGTTTACGTCATAGGAACTCTTTTATACAGTCTGTTCGTTGCAAGCTCCAATAAGATTAATTCGTATTAATATTATTATTATTATTATTATTACTATTAATATTATTATAATCTGTAGAGTAAAAAAATATCTCATTTCACTATTCTAAATCTCCTGAGCGATATTTGTACATTCATTGACATTTATCGTATAATCTGTCAAGTGATAAGACGTACGTGATGAAAGAGTTGACGACATTAAATTCGTTCGATATTTTTATACAATCGATAGTTGTACGAGAAACGCGACGTGATGTTTTTAAGCTTCTTCTAAACTAGCTTTTTTGTTTCTTCTTTTAATCTCAGTGATAACAATAAGAAGTAAAATTGATAAAATGAAGGCAGAACCGAAACAGGCAATTTCGTAATAATATTTATCCATGATATTGATAAAGACTTGTTCTATTGACCTGGTATCGACTTCGATGGGCAAACTAGCAGGTCCGTCGTTAGATGATATCCAAACTAAATACTTAGTGCCAGGGAAAAGAGATATTTGAGCAGAATTTGAATCTGTTACTTGATTACCAGTAAGACCACCAGTTTCTGGTTCCCAAGATACTGTATAGGATGATTGTTGAGTCTTTCGGTTGCATACACTTTTTAAAGACTTAACATCGTCAGCTTTGTCCTTATCGTCGCGTTCGTCAATCTTTTTTAAGAAAAATCTTCTGAATACTTCATCAGTAATTCGCGAATCTGCTACTTGGCTCCTCAATTCGGTTAAAACTTTTTGACCATATTTTTCGAGATACATTTGTCTTATTTCGTCATTTAATTTCAGTTGTTGAGTATCTATTGGTATTGTCAATTGAGTCGATTCATCATCTTTCCACGAGATGGTAGCCTCGTATAATTTTCCTTCCTTCAAGTCCTCCAAAGTTGGTGACCATTTTTGCCAGCTGTATTGAATAATACCTTGTTCCGTGACAACTATAATCCAACTGTCTAAAGGAAATGTTGGGAATGCTCCCAACATTGCTCCTGAAAGATAACTCGTATCTGTCCATTCATTATTTATTTGTTTTATTTCTATAGCTACGTCCAATTTGTTTAAAGTTACTGGATACTTTTTTGGTTTTGGTAACATCGATGGCAGATATTTTTCAATTGTTTTCAATTGTTTAAAGGAACACGCTAACTGGCAAACTTCACACTGTAATAATAACAAAGAATAATGATTACATTTTCTAAGAAAAATATCATCTAACAATAATTTATAGAGAAAAAAGATTAGAAAGTAAAGGTAAGGTGTATCTCTTTCCCTTTTTATCTATATCTCTTTTCGTAGTATGACGAAGACGATGATTTTCTATCGAATTTGTTCATTCATCCGTAATAATCGAAGGGTAAAATATTTCTAAGGATTCTAGGCGCCCTCAATCTATTTTTCAAAAGATCGACAGAGATTGGCTCTACTAACTGTGATCTTTTTCCCTTTACATCTCATGGGATTATTTTTGACAAGCATAAGAAATATCTTTTCTTTTTTCATTTCATTGCTCTCGTCTCATCCCTAACAATTCCAAGTTGATCGATAGAAAATAATAATAATAGTAATAATAATAATAATAATAATAATAATAATAAAAAGTTATACACATACATTTTCATAGAGATCATTTCTTGCGCAAAAGGTTTGGTTAGCTTTCTCCCATTGTTTTTCCACGACCTCGCAATAGTTCCAACACTGTAACAGAGAAAAATAAGGGAAACGATCAGCTCTGGTGTACGAGTAAAAAGCCCTAACAGCTAATGTAAGAAAAAAGAGGAAGGTAGAAGAATCTTCAAGAGAGAGAGAGAGAGAGAGAGAGAGAGAGAGAGAAGAAAGAAAGAAAGGAATAAAGAAAGAAAGAAATAAGAAGCATCGAAGGAGGCAGGCCATTGAATCGGCGGCATTACTCTTGAGGAGTGGAAAGGGTCGAGGAGAGGAGAGGAGAGAAGAGGAGAGGAGAGGAGAGGAGAGGAAAGGAGAGGACGAGTAGAAGGAGGGTAGCTCGAATTAGCTCCAACCTGTTCCAGCATAAAAGGCACTGTCGTTGTTGTCTTTATATTTATTGGGGTAACCTCTCTCGTTCCTTTCTACTAACTAAAACATTTCCAACTCTTCGGAGAAAACGATATGTTAGACCTTCTCGCTTGTTTAATAATGTCTAAGGTAAATAAAAACCAATGCATAGAATATCCAAATTGTAATAGTATCTAATTGAGTTACTACCATTATTCGAAATATCTTAATTGAATATTATAATACTTCTATAATTATTACTATTGTACTAATATTTTGTTGTTCACATGCATTCTATGCACTAATGTATTAACAATATACATTTTATTATATTTAATGCATTTACAATACATGTAAGGAAAAAAAAAGGAAGGCGAGATAATCGTCGTTATGGGGGCGTTTTAAGGATAGTTCGATGACATGTTCTTCGTTACGATTGTTATTGTAATCCAGAACCCTCTTCTACCTATCTCCCTTTTCCTGTTAGTATAAATATCAATGGGGGTCATTGTCGTCGCACGCTCTTAGCACGCACAAAATACGATTTTCTTCAAAAGTAATGAACCCCCCATCAACATTCCTCACCAAATGTCTACTTTATTACAATCATTCGTGATAAGATTCTATGATGAACATTTATTGAAATGTATCAATCGATATATATATATATATATATATATATATATTTCAGTGTAGATTTTCTATTATCGTACGAGAACCTCCCTTCGTTAATCGAAGTTTCCATCTGTTCATCGATAGGGGAACGATGACTGTCTTGACTAAAAATAAGGGGGTGTCCCGGGATCACCATGATTTTCCATGGCGCTTCGTAAAACCGAACGCCAAAAGATTTATCGTCCTTTCGAGGGGACTCTATTCGATTTCAAACACGAACGAAAAATAACTTCTCTTGTTATTTTTTCATTTAATCTTCAACTAGAGAAAGATTCTATTTCTATATATAATATCAATGTATATTTTAGAAAGTATCTTTTGTTTTCTTTCATTGTTAAAAATATAGTTCTCATTTTAACGAAAAATACTTTTCATTTTATTCGACAAATTGAACGAATAAAAAGAAAACAAAATGTAAATGATATCTTAATTACCTGTTGGCACATAATTTTTGGCTGATCGGAGGTAAAATCACACGTTCCATCCAAGCTATATTGCAAAAGACACTTTGATCTACACTGTCCAATCCTAATAAATGGTCCAAGGTCAATACAATCGGCGAGACATCCGTACAAACTAAAAATAATCAGCAACCACGAAAGGTTTTCCATGTCGTCGTGTTAGATTTAATATATCTCTCACTAAATATATATTTCTAAGAAAAATTCGTAAACTGATAGGGAAAAAGAAAAAAGAAACTTCTTCACTTCTTTGAATAGGAATAGAAACGATACTCTTGAAAAATTCTTTCCTACTGCGTCCCCTCCATCGTTGGAAGCTTCCTTATATAGGTTACGGTCTCCCCACTTCTATGGGTTTTACTCTCCCACCCTTCTCAGTCTTCTATACCATCCCTTATAATTATTTCTAAACCGTGCTCGTCCCTCGGCATATGGTTGACCGTACTGTACAATCTCTACGTACCTATTCCAATGCTCTCCTCCCTAAGGCTACATCGTTTTTCCCCTTTTACAATTGGAATAAAACTATTACAGAGAATTCTTGCCTAGCGATGGACCACTAATTTCTTTCTCTTTTTTAAACTTTCTCATTTCAACAACAAAAAGAATGTTTCTTGTTAACTAAGAAATCCACCCTCGTTATGACACAAAATACTAAATACAAAAGTCATCCTGCTGAATCGTCGAATCATGTCTACCGCATATATAAATAATAATACATTCTAAAGCAAGCCTTAAAATGTGTGTGTGTGTGTGTGTGTGTGTGTGTGTGTGTGTGTGTGTGTGTGTGTGTGTGTGTGTGTAAGAGAGAGAGAAAGAGACAAAGGGCTCTGAAATGCTAAAAAGGATCGTTATCTTTTACGGATCTTGTTTTCAACATACTAAGAGAGTTTAGAAACTAACCTATAAGAGAAAACTATTAGAATTTGATTCCAGTTAAAATACAGGCTGGTTTGTCTCATTTATTTCTTTTTAAGATGGAAAAATGATATTTCCTCGTCTTTTAAATGTCCAATAAGTAAATTTAACATCCAAAACCTTTTTATGTATTTTACTTAACATCCGGCGTTTTGGAAAAATTGTAAACAAGAAATACGTAAAAGATCGAATGATCGCGCAATTTCAGCGAACGATCGAAATGGTTTGGGGTTACTCAGCTCCACCCAGTTTTTCGAAAATAAAGCTTTCTAAAGTATAGGAGAGAAAAAAAAAGAAAAGGATGGAAATACATATTCAACCGGAAGTCGAATTCTCTGGGTGCTCTACGTTCTACGTCACAATGCACAGGATGTGTACAAATAAGGGTATTTGTCTCGTTGCCTGATTGTGGGGTGAAATATATGTGACGTTAAACGAGCCGAGTTTCATCCCTGTATGAGAAGACTTTGAAACGGCCCGGTTTATGCCCGGTGGCAATAGAAAAAGGCCTACCAAATGGGGATCCATTCATCTAGGCTACGTTTAGGGGTGGCGCTCAGTTTGTTCATCTACAAACTTCTATGGAGAATGACATTTTATTGTGCCAGAAGTTTTTCTCACACCTGGTCTCTTCGCTTCGCATTGATGTTTAGATGTTTCACGTTTATATTTCTATATAATATCTTTTCTTTTTTTTCTATCTATTTATTCCTATTAGATGTTTAGAATTATCTATTTGAAAGAAAAGGAAATTCACTGTACTTTTGATCGCAATATTTTTTACATAATTTTGTTTGGATGGAGACAAGATGAAATATTTGCAATTTTTATTGCAAATATGATATAATAATTATTCTATACAATTTGTTTATCTTATAGAAATAGGATACCGAAGACCGCGAATGGAGGGGTTGCGCTCAGGGACCGAACCAATGGCGGGATTTAATATTTGCGTCAATAAACTTTCGAGTTCCTAATGCCAATTAATAATAATAATAACAATTTGTTTAAAAAGAATGCGAGAACGTGTACGTAGGGGCTTAGAATTTTGTAAAATCCGTCAAAATCTTCCTCGAAGGGATTTTCGTTACAGAAACGAGAGGTGTGAGATATTTTCGTAGGATCCATAATCCGAAACGCATTCCTCTGTTTCTTTTTTTTCCTTTCCACTGGCGTCCCTATTATCTTGTAAGATATCTTGCACGATTCGTCTCTGTATACATAAAGTTCGTCTCATTCTTTTTGGAGTTCTTGTTTATCGATCGTAATCCACGTCGCGAAGGATTACGTGTTCTCGGTTTTCCCTAATGTAAGATCCCGTCCATCTCCCACTCTAATTTCTTTCTCTTTTTCTTTCTCGTTGTATCATAGGAAAAAATCTGAACATTTGAAATTCTGACCGCGTTTTCTTCCGAATTATCTTCTTCTCTCTCCTTTGTTGCTCCGTTCACGTACGACTATTCCTCGTATGAAACTGGATACTCTGTGTTACGGATAAAAGTAACAACAATATTTTTTGTCTCTCGTCCAACGAGTCGGAATTCTTCACAAAGATCCAACAAACAAAAGAATGATTATTAGCTTAAGATGTTTTTTCGATAAGATTAATTGCACGACAAAAATATATCGTAAGAAAAAGGGGATACCGACAAACATGAAAAAAAAAAATGGAAAACGCATTTGCGAATATCACGTTGCAAAAATGAAATTTATAAGTTAAAAATAAGAATAATTGGATAAAACCAAAACGATCAATTTTAAGCGAAGAAAGTAGAAGTTGCAGAAAAAAAAGAAGAATTGAAATGAAAGTTAGCACGAAATTGATAATGGATTATCCTAGGAAAATAATAATTTGCTTAGCACCACCGTCCAAATCTTCCACGAAGGGTCCCCCGTTTAGCTTTCGTTTCTTCAAAGTATCTAACAAAGCATAAAATTCTTCTCTCCCATTTTAAAATAGCTCTATCTTTTTTTCTTCCCTTTGGTTATATTTTTTTTTGGGGTTGGCTTTTTTTTTCTCTTCACACTCCGCGTCAAATGTACCACGGAGACAAATTTTCATTCTTACCATTAAATCTCGTCTCTCTTTCTATCTCTTTAGAAAAATTGTTGGAAAAGAAAATTTGTCACTAAACGATTCCTTCGAGGGGGGACAGGTGGTAACCAAAAAGATCTCCAAATTGAACTCACCTATTGAACATCTAACATAAGATTCTTTTTACGCGTCTTCTAACGTGACAAATTCTCCAAAAGTAGGATTTATTATCAAACGAAAGTACAGAGGGGTGACGTTTCTTAAATTCTACCAACTCCTCTTAACAAGATTTCAGAATCTGAAAAATAAGTTGTGTGTCCAAAGGAAAAAAAGATCCTTTTTTGTTAATTGTTATTTCATTTAATTATTTTGTGGTAAGTTCACTTTTCAAGCTTTGTTTGTAAATGTTTAAATATCGAATAGAAGAAAAATATTTATAGTTTTGTTTTTCGTAGATCGTATGGACCGATCATCCCATCCGGAAAAGGTTTACTCTGGAGTATCTGGAGTTCGTCAATGCTTGGAGCATTTCGTTGCGCACGACCATATGGTTGCCGACGGCGTTGATCATTATTTCCTTTCCCTTCGGTGTGCCTCGAAGGAGGAAAGGCGGTCGGCCACAAAATTGCCCCAAAATTGCTCAATGGTCCAGCTTTTCTTCTTCTTCTTTTTCATCTTCTTCTTCTTTTTCATCTTCATCTTCATTTTCTTCTTTTTTTTATCATCGTCATTTTTTCTTTCTCAAAAGCTAATTTCATAATATTCGATTTTTAATTCGACAGCGAGATCATCCATTCTCCTTCTCTCTCTCTCTCTCTCTCTTTCTCTTTCTCTCTTTCACTGTTTTTTTTTTATTTTCTTTTTTAATTTCTATTTAGTTTCTTTTTATCCTATCCCCTTTTTATAAAATATGCTAAATGCTCGAGGGGGAATCAAGACGCCCCCACAAGATACTCCAACGTTGTTATTTACGTATTATGAATGTTGTAAAGCGAAATATAATGGTCGCCTCGAAGCAATTTATGCGAATTTTGTGATATTTTCTTTTTCTATAGTATCTTATGGATTTCTAGGATAGAGAATTATTTATTACGTGAATAAAAATTCCTTAGAATTTCTTCAATTTTTCTTTCAATATTATCCTGTTTGTTATTTTTTCTTTTTTTTTCTTTTCAAGTTAAACTATATGCACGCGATATGGTTATATACACGTAACGTTTTCAAATTTTCGTTAATAATTTTATGCACGAGTTTCTTAGTAATACGTCCATCGACAAAAGCTAATGACCCAAGGTACCCCTTGCACGAATGTCCATTATTATTCTTTATACGAAATTGCTCATAACTAAAACGAGTATAATTATATCGTTGAAAGATAAAAAAAAAGTCTCTTTAAAGGTATAAGAAAGCTGCAAAAAAAACACAACATTTTCAAAAATATAATGGAAAATTTATTATCCAAAGTATTATTCCTATAGACGAAATTATATTATAAGTTCTAGCCGCGTGCCATATGTCGATGGTCACGGGAAACGTTTTCCGATTTCTCGCGCGTGTACCACATGGGCTACGCATCTCTCTTATTTTTTTTTTTCCATAAGTCCTACAGAAATCCGACACAGCAGCCGGAGAGTACCTCCGAAGTGGCACTTTAGGATAAGGTTAAGAGTAGTTTAGATATCTCGAGAGTTACTCTTGAAAAATTTTATAAAACTTCTTTCTCTTTCTTTCTTTCTTATTCTCTCTAACAATTAAGAAAATCAATTAGAAATGGGGAAGAATTATTTGAAATATCATTTGCAATTAAATTTATACAAAATTATAATAAATGCTTACTATATATACATCAGAAAAATGATTACGTTAAAACCACGACAGATTCGCCGGCTCATTAGCTAGCAAAATACCTTTGTCAGTTATTTTCTGCTCCGCCTTCGCAAAAAAAGAAAAAAGGACGAAGAGCTGCTTCGAGCTGTCTCGGTCCTTCAAGGTTATTTAGTCTCGGAGATCGGTAGAGAGGGATCACAACGTAATTTGACCCTTACTACCTTAATTAGTCCCACGTTGAATTATCAATCGGTTATTTCCAAGTTCCACTATGGTGTTGTTCTCGGTACTCAAATTGCCCCCTATTTTTATCTCCTTCTTGTCGTAAAATCTTTCGAAAAAAAATTCCGCCCTCGGCGGAATACGATAAATTTTCAAAGAAAAATGAAGAGTTGTTCGGAATCGTTGTACTTGGAATTAGGTCGTAGATAGAAGGTGAAATGAACTGAGAGTAGAAGAAATTTCTTTACCCCTATATAAGCTGATATCCTTAGGAAGGAAACTGTTAAATCTATTATGCCTCTCTAAAGCTCGATCGTGATCATGGAACCGAAAAAAGACAAGGAAAAAAAGACGAAGAGTAGGATGCTGAAAGAACGATGAAAAAAAAGAAAAAGAAGAAGACGAGGAGAACGCGTTTTGTAGTTTTCGTGGGTCAGACTGTGCAGGTAGGTAGGAAGGTAGATAGGAAGGTAGGTAGGTAGGTAGGTAGGTAGTGGTCCTTTCAAATCGTTCGAAAAATGAGGGGGTACAAGGTATACTCGAGGACCGCCGTGTAACGTCCTCTGCCCTTACCTCCCTTTTCTCTTTCTCTCTCTCTCTCTCTCTCTTCTAACATAAGATGCTTAGCGATAAACGTTTACCGTGTCCTATCCTTCCATCCGAGCAAAAGTAATCGTCGAATTTTCGATGAAAATGAATTTTATTTGTATTTCTTTTTTCTTTTTTTTATTCAATTTGTATTTTATGCTATGCAATTATTTGCATCATCATATAATATATACACACAATTATACGTGCACTTTTATCTAAGGTTATAAAGATTTCAAGTATCCAAGAATGAACATTATTACTCTTTGTTTTATAAACTTTCCTCGGTAATAAAATAAATCTAATTTTTGAACTCAAATGTAAAACATCAGAGATAACGAGTAAAGAAGTGGCTTCTGGCTTATCAAAAATTCTACGTTTATCTTATATGCCACTTCTTTCTCTCTCTCTTGACTCTTGAGTTAAAACTTTTTTTTCTTTCAAGGACACGAAATCATGAAACTTCTTCGACTGATAATCCAAAGTTATATAGACTTAAGTACTTACTTTAAATACCTCCCACATATCGCTATTTATTTTCTTATTTTTCATACTGGAGAAAGTCAAATTCTATTCTAATTTCGAAATTCGTTTCTTCGTTTTGTGAATCGTTCGATATTCCAATTTCTTCTTTTTTTTTTTATTTATCACTATTGTAAAAAAAAAAAAATATATATATATATATATGTAAAAGGATATCATATAAAATAGAAACGTAGTAGTTCTAGTTCTCACTATCAACGATCAACTTTTTAAGATATTTTGACAAAAATTGATTCACATATAAATACATACTTAAAAATATTTAAGAGAAGACTTTCTTTCGTAAGCTTTGATTAAAATATTGCACTAATTCCGTTCAGGCCCAAAATTATTAACAAATAGTCCGTCTTTCTCTCTCTCTCTCTCTCTCTCTCTCTCTTTCTCTCTATTCTCTATCTTTGTAAATCTTGAAACAAATAACAGAACGACAATTCTGATTGTTCAAGAGATAGTCACTACAGCGATTTTGTTGGAAAGTTGTTCAGGTAGGTCGTTTTTATTCGTCAGACCGTGAGGCTTGTCATTTGACCGATCTTTTAACGATGAATCTTCTTCTTTTTCCAGGTCAACATAATAAAGGTGCCTCGCCGCTATACAAAGCAGCAACATCTCGATTATCAACAGACCACTTTGTGTTACTGAAAGTAGAAAAATTCAGAGAAAGAGTAACGAAACAAGCTACAAAAAAATATATGTGCCTATAATTATGAAAGTGGTCTAATGTAAGTCAAAATTAAAAAAATATTGAGTTTATCATTTATTACACACCACATTATTTTAAACTAAATAAATTCAATGTAATTTTGACAATATTGTCAAAAATGAATCGTTAGATAATGTTTGTTATTTCAATATTATATAGAATTCAAATAGAGTGTTCAAATATAAATCTTGAAATATCTTGAAACAAGAGATACATACATAACTTAGACCACTTTCATAATTATAGGCACATATACGTAGGTTGGAACTTAAATAGTGGCAATTATTTATTCATAACCGATACAAAAGAGTTACATGTTTGCACCTGTTACTGTCTTTCAAAGTAGTCATCAGCGTTGTGTGGAACCCGTTGCCAGCGATTTGGAAGGCGTAGTATACCGTAAGCAGAGCCTATTCTGTTAATGGTGCGAATGGAGCGATCTACTGCCATGTCTCATCCAGTGTTACGATACGGCGTAAGAAAGAAGCCTCTCCTTCGCGTTCATAGCGCTCCAAGTGCGTCTAAGCAGCGTCGTAACTCATCCATTTCTGCATTTCCGTCAATTTATGCGAAACCCATCGTGGCATTCGCTTCAGAACTGTTTCAGAGATTCGACAGGCAGTAGACCGCTCCATGCGCACCATCAACAGAACAGGCTCTGCTAACGGGTTCTACACAACGCTGGTGACTACTTTGAAGGACAGTAACAGGTGCAAACATGTAACTCTTTTGTATCGGTTGTGAATATATAATTGCCACTATTTAAGTTCCAACCTACGTATATATATATAGTATTGTTGAGCAACGATGTCATCCAATTAAAGTTTACGTGATTATTTAAAGGGGTATTCTGGTATAGAGGCATGAATTTTAGGTACTTTTTCAAGTGTAATAACAAAAAGATGAATAATTTGTTCACTATCTATAATGTTAAAAGATATTCATTAATATTTCGAGAATACATGGAAAAAAAAGAAAAATAGTGAAAAAATTCAAAATTGAAAAAAATATAGGCTGATGAAGTGGGGGGTCCCAAAAAAAAAACGGCGCGCGACAAATGCCAAGATTGCAGCTCTTCTGGTAATATGAAATAAAAAAATTAAAACGGATTATTAATTTAGAATAATGCCGCAATCGCGTTCGAACTAAAAGAATTGAAAAAAGTTTTTTTTTTTTCGCTAAATTGCAGCTGTTTGAAAAAAAGATATATTATTTTTACCACTATTTTTACTTTTCCGAATTTTTTAAAAATAGTAAAAATTGAAAATGTAGTAAGATTTTAGTTTGCACGATAGAGTAATGCATAGAGAAGACTCTCACCAAATTTCAAGCAAATCGGTTTTAGTAGAACTTGAGATATCTTGACAATTGTGAAAAAAAAACAGTTTCGAGAAAAACGCGTTCAAAGTTTCGCGTAATAAGGGTAGGATATAAGATGCCGCGTCACTAAAATAGCTATATCTCTGAAAATAAATTGAATTTTGAAAAATCCTTTTAAGAACATATCCTTAAAAGGTTAAGCTTTGAAAATATAAAAAAAATCGATTTTTTCAAATTTCTAGACCAGAATATCCCTTTAATTTGTTCATTTTTCTTTAATTTCCTGGATAGAAAGATATTTCAATATACATTTACCATTGGCAAAAACTCTTGGTGGTAATGGTGGACTGCAAGGAAAAATGCCAGTATAAACGAGAAGTTTTATAATAATAGCTTGAAGCTTGGAAAAGACCAAAGCCAGTTGGGTTACCAAAGTTTTCAATCTCAGTTTGGCTTCTGTTGGCAAACAAACAAACAAACAAACAAAAAGAATAAAACCATTTACTTACACAAGTAAGAGAATAAAAAATCTAATTTACCTGGAGCAACGACATTGAGACTTTTGTTGGTGATCGTTAAACCATATATACCAATTAATATACTAATTAATGTGAATGGTTGAAACCAGATAAGATAACTTGGTTCTATTTTTTGTTCATCCAAGGCTACAACTAACATTATGAAGAACAATAATCCCTAAAGGAAGAAAAATATTTCTATAATAATTAAATAAAATAATAGTGAAAATAATGAATACACTTTAGAGGATACCTGTACGATAGGAAGTTGTAGAACGATCAATCGAATGACGGCCAGACGAGAATCGTTCATATCGAGTTTAGGAAAGGGCAAACATGGCCAACAGCAACAAGGGCCAGTTCTTAGCAATAATGGAGCCGTTTTATCATTTTTTCGACGGCCAACGTCGGTAAGGAGAAGAAACAAACGATAAAGCGATATAGTCAGGACAATTTGAATGAGCGCCTCCGATAATAGTTGCGTCCTGAAATAGATAAATAAAATGAACAAGAAAACGAGCCGCGTCTCTAACGGAGTATTCATGAATCTTATTTACGTGACAAATTTCCCGCCATCATCCCAACGTCATCCCTCTTTCCCTACCACCTGCCCTCCCACGTTTCGTTTCAGAGAACAAAAAAAAATATAAAAGATCAACCGGAAAGATTTTTTTTTTAGGCGACTGTCATCGTAAAAATGTACTTTCGAATAACAGGGATCTTTCATTTAGATAATCCAACTTTCTCTCTTTCTCTTTCTCTTTCTCTTTCTCTTTCTTTCATTTTAATTTATTTCATCCTTGACATTTTTATTCTCTCGAATATTTCCATAATTTTTCATTTGAACCAAATTTTTCTTATATGTGTAAAAATAAAATGCCACTGAATTAAAAGTTCATTTAAGGTAATAGTGTGTGGGGGTCAAAAAAATCGAAATTTTTTTAGCTACATTTTTTGAAAAAGAAACATCTTGAAAATATGCTCTAAAAATTTTAGTTTACAATTCAAAGTATTTAAAAAGTTATAGCAAAAAGAAGAGAGCGCACGCCGTAGTAACAACATATCTGTTGTCAAAACTTTAAACCGCGTTTTTCTCGAAACCACGATTTCAAAATTTCGGGGAAGCACTGACTAAAAACTATTCAACCGATTTGGCTAAAATTTTAATCTGTTATTCTTAATATAATTACCTAAGTACCGAAAAAAATTAAATTTTTTAATAATAAATCAATTTTTTTAAACAATTAAAAAAAAGTGCGATTTTGAAATTTTTTTTTTGCAAGTCCGCCATTTTGTTATTTTAAAAAAATGTTTGCATATTAGAGGTTCAGTCATTAGCGACAAGTCTACAGAATAATAATCCGTTTGAATTTTTAGTTTCAAATGACTACGGAAGGCTGTGTGCTTTCCCAAGACAACCTACTCTTTTTTCGAGGACTTCACTTTGACTTAGAAAATCAGAAACAAATTTATGTAAAATGAAGTCAACAAAAATTTTTCTGTACACTTTAAGACAGTAATAAAAACATATTTAAATTTCAAAACAATTGCATTTTATTTTCATATATAAAAAAAATTCATGAAAAAACGTTAAAATTTTGGGTGTCACACAATGGGCTTATACCTTAATATACGTACGTTCAAAGTGTTGACATTTCTAATTACCTATTTAATTCTACAAATGGAATAGTTTATCTTTCATCATTTTCTACAACTATTTGATGTATATTTAAACTAAATGAAAATTAAATGCCATTATCGTAATAAAAACATGACATTTCTAATTCCCTATTTAATTATACAAATGGAATAGTTTATCTATCATCATTTTCTATAACCATTTGATGTATATTTAAACTAAATGATAATAAAATGCCATTATCGTAATAAAAACATAAGATATTTTTTATAATTGTTAACTTAAAATATATATATATTTATTTAATTATATATTTTATTTAATTATATATATATATATATATATTGATATTCAGAGACAGAAATCAGTACACATGAAAGTTTGATGATGAATATCTTTTGAACGCTTAATTTTATCGCTAAAACATAAAACACCATTTTTATAGAGCAGTTAATTTCCTACAAAAATTTGCATTGCGTATTTTATAATAGTCATTTATTGTCGAGTTATAAAATTCATAAACAAAAATGAAATTTGTTTTAAAATAATCAAATTTAAATCTTCAATATCATTCAAATGGTGATGTTTACGGAAAAAATATAAGATACCTTTTTTGTAGAGCATTAAATTTCCTATACAAAATTCTTCCATAACATTTTTCTGTACAATCAATTAATGATGGGGTATGAATTTGATTCTATTGGACTGAGAAAAAAATAAAAAACTGCAATGCGGAGGATCTTCCTATTAAAATTAAAAGCTTATATTTGGTGAGAATTTTTTTTAAGGTGTCTAGCAACCCATTTTTCTGTGGCACTTGTAAAAAAAAAATAATTGATTTTGTTGACCCACCCAAATGTATATATACGTACGATGTATAGGTAAAATTGATGATTTAATTAGGAGGAATAATTTTTAATTACCTTGGTATCGCTATTATCATCAAACTACAAACACTTGCTATTGGATAAACCGAGAAAATACTAACGACGTTAGATTTGTAAAGACCCGTTTCTTTTTGTGAAAAAACATTATGAATAGCGTCTATGGCAAAATATAATGTCATCATAGTAAATGCCGCACCAACGGATATCAAAACAATTCCAAATGTACCCAAGCCTGAAACAACAAATAAAAGATAGTGAATGATTATTACGCCATTCAAAATATATCGAAGATTATGAGTTATTTAAACATGTCTTTTAATGATTATCGAATTTTCAAAACACTCATATATATATAGGTTAACACCCACGTACACACATGCACAAAAATCTACCCATTACGTAAACGGAAATTATTTTCTATATGTAATCAAAAAATATGATAAGATTTCTTCTCAGATGATAAGATTTCAAATGAATTGTTGATAAGATATGTTATGATCGCATAAAAGTTTCCAATTAAAATATTACGATGTATATTTTACATTATAGATTGTTGTTTTTTTTTTATTTGGACAAAAATAAATTATGAACAATTGATATATTTCATTAGAATTTTTGAGAATGAAAGAATAAACAAATGTAAAAAAAAAAAAAGAAATAGAACAAAACAATAGTTAGAACGAATAAACAAAAAAGGAAAAATAGAATAAATGTTGAAAAGCAAAGTCACGATTTATTCGAAGAATAAATATTAATTAGTAATGAATAAAAATTGGTAAAAGATTCGTATCTAATGTGTGTTGTAATATCGTATGACGTGCGATTTATATAAACGCTTCTAATAATTTTATATCCTTCTGAAAACATGTTTTTTTTCTTTTATTAAATATACAGGTTAATAATAATATTTATGCAGGTCAGAATTGTTATATATATATTATAATATTATTACATATATATTACAAATTGTTATATATTGTATATATATATATATATACCATGTATTTATACAAAGTGTAAATTTAAACATAATCTCGAAGAACAAAACTTTCACTCGTGCGTGTATCACTCGTATTCCTTGAGTTGAAGAAATAATAACAATTTTGACCTGTTTAAATATAATAGAATATAAAAAAAAAATGATATACTTCATCCAGGTAATACATGAATTTAAACGAGACAAATAGTTAATGTGTAAAAATTAGAAATTGAATTTGTAAATTAAAAGATCTCGACTAACGAAACGTAATTCACAGAACATAGTTTTTTTTTCTTCAAATATTTACATTTTCGATCGATATTATTTGACGAAATGCATAACCCATAAATTTACATATATTTTACTACGCATTTAATTAGAATTTTGTAAAGAATAAAAAAAAGAAAAAGTAGGTCTAGAAAAAAGTTGAGAATTAATTACAAAAAAAAAAAACAAAAAAAAAAATTTAGTCAGACAACCATTGCGCGACCATTTAATAGTACAAAACAGGTGACATGATAAATATAAAAATAAAAGTCATAATTGAAAATGTTGATAACATAATTTCAATGTTTAATTCATTGATATCATCTTTTTTTTCTTTTTTTCTTTTTTCTAAAGGGAAAGTCAAGCGAAACATTTGGAATGCAAATAAAGGATTGTCACCTACTTGTTGTGACATAAGATACCGATAAAATGTGAAAAATATCTAATTAAATTCTATCGCGTTTGAATTTTATTCCAGGAAACACGGAGAACAAAAGTAATTGAAAAAAAAAAATAGAAAACAAACTTACTTTCTATATTCTCGATGGCAGTAGGCATATAATCTGGAGTACAACTAACGTTCAAACGATGAAATTTCTCCGACAATTCCATTTTTTTTTTTATATAAATTTATATAAATCACAATTGAATTATTCAATTATTCGATAGAAATATATATTATTGTTATAGAAAAAAAAAGAAAAATAATTTGAAAATTGTTTAACGTTGGGAAAGTGGGAAAGTTCGAAAGTTCGACAAACTCGCGTTGAAAAAAGTAAACTGACGTCTGGTGAATCGAAAAGGCAAGTCGGGACGCAATCCTAACGGTGAGAGTGACTCCCCACTTTTAGCACCATTAAATCGCTATATTATAGGTACTAATATGAAACATTTTCTCTTATCGCGATTCAAAATTTGCTCTCTTTCAATATTTTTTTTCTTCTCTCTTTTTTGTAAAAATCATTATCATTAAAAGCATTTTGTATTTTATATGTAACATAAATATGTATCACGATTTATATATTGAAAATTGGAATTTATTTATTTGTCATTGATTATATTAATAAATTACTATATAAATAGTAAAATTTGAAGGGGGAAAAAAAAAAACAAGAAATTAGTTAATTCGATAGATTCTTGTTTTCAATTGATTTTTTTTCGATTCTGACTTACCGACAATCTATATTACCGACAGTAGATATATTTCAAAAGTTATCAGTAATGGATAATACAGATTATAATTCTTTTTTGTGTTTTCATTCAAATAAATTATTTATAAACAATCAAATGATATAAAATCATACAAGTATGAATAAATAAGATAATCGAAAGTATTAGAAGAAAGGAAGAAGCTTCTTTTAAATGAATATATTACCTTAAGAGGAATAATGTGAAAACGTAGAAAAACGTTTAAAGAAAGTGGATATCCCTTTCGAAAGAGATTTCACTTTCGAGATGAAAATAATTCAAAGAATTCGTTCGCCTTTAAATCAATGGAGGGAAGAAGAAAGAAGATTACGGATAGCAAGGTAGATGATGGAATGGAGAAGCTCGAACGACACAGTCGAACGTGCGTGAGTGCACCGATAGGACGACAGAACAGAAAATTAAGTGGCTAACGTAAGTTACAAGAGAGAGAGAGAGAGTTCTTTAAGAAAGTAGGTTCTTAAGTATTACGGTCAGTTTACGATTGCTTCTTCGGACGATCGCTTCTTAGCAATGGTAAGTTTTATTCTTTCTTATTATTATTTTGTTTATCGATCATCCTTTTGGAAAAAATCCTCAATTTTTCATCCGACAATGAAACAACAAACTCTCAGACCTGTTCCAATCTAATTATACTTTTTCTATTACAAATAGATTTTATTTTTATATCATATTTGATATTCTAATTCGCAAGGTTCGCTTTCATTTTGAAGAATCTTCATTTAAATTCAACGTAGATATTTTTTTCTCTCTACTACTTATAGATCTCGTCAAATGTTTGTTTGTTTTTTTTTTTTTTTTAATAAATTATGCATATGTTATAACAAAAAAATATGTGTCATGGACCGATAATCTAGTACAAAAGTAAGAAAAACATTAGAAATCGTTGACTTGCATGTATAATTAACTATGTCGGTGCAAGGATCAAATGGTGCGTACGTTGGATCGACTAACAGTACTTTCTCGATCGAAGTTAGTTCATTTCCAAGGATATTTTTGCGAGAGTTAATATGTTTAATATTACGTAACTATAATGATAATAATAATTGATTTAGCAATTATTTATTTCAATGCCAATAGTGCAATTTCGTCATTTCTAAAGAATAAAAATCATTCGAATAAATCCTCTTGGATATAGTCGATTAAACGACAGGATTAATTGAAGATTTAAATTTTCAGATGTTAATCTTCTACATCGTTTTAATATTCGGTTTAAATCATGTCGAATCGAAGGAATTACCAACGATATTCGAAGTAGAAGATTCGATAAATCGAACGATCGATCAAGTTGAAAGATTGATCAATGAAAATCCAAATTTACCTCGATTATCACGAAACGACATAGTTGATATTTTGTATAACATCACTTCGAAGGATTCGGAAGCTTATGAAAATAAAGATGAAATCGAGAAAGCACGAAAAATGTATCAAAGAGCTTTAATGGTTGTATTACCGTACAAAGCGAGAGAATCATTGGAAAATTTAAAAGATTTGTACACGAAACCACCGATAGTTCAAATGTTATCGGATTCGTCTAGTGACGAACGTTTAGAAATGGTTTTAAACGATCGATCGAAAGAAAGTAACAGTGAATCATCGGAATCTATTGATAATATATTAGATAAAAATAAATATAAAAATCATCGTGAAACTTATTCGGATGTTAGATCTACAGAATCATTGAAAGAAACTTTAACACCTGGTTCAGCACCAATGAGATTTAGTTTTAATTTGGATAGTTTACAACAAACTAATCATCATTATCCTACTCGAGAAACAACAAGGATAGATGATCATTCAATATTTTTTCCTACCACTAGAAAAACGATTAACAACAACGATCAAGTTGAAGACATCAATGTAGTTCTCGATACGAAGAACGATAAAGAAACATCCGGTTCGGAAGAATTAACGATTGATTTGGGTCCGAAACAAGATATTATTTATTCAAATCAATGGCATTATCATGCACCACCACCCCAAAACATTCCCAATGATAACAACGAAGAGTTTGATATTGAACAACAACAGGAGGACGAATCTTCAACAATTTTTGTAACACCGCTCACGTTGACATCGCAAACTTCGACTAAATACAACACAACGTTGGCTTTAAATTCTGGTGGATTTCGTGATGTTACATCGACTACTGAAAAAATTTGGACCGAACCAACGACGAAATTACGAGTCATGGATTTGTTAGCTTCCATTGGATTGCGACCAGAGAATGAAGCAAAAGTTGACAATGTTTTTCTGACAAATCAATCGAATTTTAGCAATGAAAATAACATAGTTTCTTTAACAACGGACAAACCAGATTTACCGTTAATCAAACCTGATCAAAATACATTTCAAACAAGTCATTTTGATTTGAACAAAGGTATGGAAAATTTAACACCCGACTTAAGACTCCTCTTTCAAAGATTTGGCATTGAAAGTACTCAGAATCGTCAATCACCCATCTTAACTACGACAACTCGTGCAACTACGAATTTGTATAGAAATTTTAAACCATTGCCAACGTCTACAGTTCAAGACGAAGAAATGAGAGAATTTTTATCGAAATTTGGTCTTGGCGTTAACAGACAACGAAAAGCTATGAAAACTAATGTTCAATCGGTGATCGAAGCTGTTCCCGTTAATATGAGAACAGTTTTAGAAAATATCGGATTAATCTCAAATTCTCATAGAAATTCGAAAAATTTGATTCATCATTCGGAAGAGACTAAATCAATACCCAATTATCACATTTTTAAACCTCACGAAACGATTTTTAAGAATGACAATGATCGATCGAAAATCAATGAACTTTTAGATACCTTTAAATTGGTTCAAGAAGGTAAAGCTGATACCAAGGACGTCCAAAAAGTTGCTAATGATTTATTAAAGACTACGAAAACTTTGTCAGTTGGTCCAGATCCATTAAGTTTGGATGAAATTATACGAGTTTATAGCGAAGATCTTAAGAATGAAGTTAAAAGACAAAAAGAGGATGATAGAAGTTCCACTAGTGATGGAAATGCTATTACTTCAACTACCATCTCTCCAATGGGTAATTGATCTATTACATCTTTCATTATGAAATTATTAAGTTGAGTCATAAATAACTTCCGTTTTTATGAGACAAAGAATAGCGTTTCTGCTACTAATAAGTGCACGACACTTTTCATTGTGTTTTTTTTTGCACTCTTTGTATTTGTTAGACGTATCTATTGAATTTTGCTCCAATATTACCTTTAAAAGGTTCGTCATAGTTGGAAAGATGTCCTGCACTCGGTTCGTCTTTTAAGGTCGTATTTCCAGAACGAAATTTTACAAACCAATTTCTGACTACCTTATCAGTTATCAATCCTGCACCGTATACGCTGTATATTTTTTCAACTGCCACTTTAGTGCTCTATTGCCTTGTTTCAATTCCTAAAGCATTACATGTCGAATATGCACTTTTTACTATCCTTTTCAGAAAACTGTTAAATGTAACATTGACTACATAAAAAAGTTGACAAAAGATTAACTGAATTCTCATCTATACAGTGATATCAAAAATTCGTTTGTTTCGTTGACTTATAGTAGGTAAATACGAAAAATAGATTTTACATAGACGCATCGGAAGTTACTCTTATGACTCGACCTAATAATTTGGAATTAAACACTAATAATTTTTTTGTTTTGATGATTTAGAAACAACGCTGTTATCAGATTCTGCAAAAGATGCCGCAGAATTAAATGAGACAACAGCAACGACAGAATCTGTGCAGATGCCAACTACTACTACTACTACTTCTACTGCTACTACTACTATGGCAGAAACAACAACACCAGCAACAACAACAACAACTGATACTAATCTGAGAGACTTGGAAAATTCATTCGGTGGTAGTACAAGAGCACCAGATCCAGTCTTACCAACCAGAAGAAAAACTGGTTTATACTTTTTGGTTGATTGGAACACGTTTCTCGAAGTTGGCGAAGAAGGTAGCGAAAAGATCAATTTAAGGTTTCAACCAAAGGTCGGCGACAGGTCAAGATTTTTACCAATAACTGTACCTTGAACAACGTAAACGAGATCATGCGAATCTCATGAGCGTTATATAAAACGAGTGAAACTTAAACGTTATTATATATGATACATTTCTTAGAAAGTACCTTTTCTATTTATTATACTTCATAATTGTTAATAATTATCTATATATTATATAATATTGTATATAAGACAAGTTTTTTTTATTCATTATACGTGATGTTGATTAAAAAAAAAAAAAAAAAAAAAGGGGAATTCGATTTAGTATTCAATCTATTTTAAACGTCATTTCCTAAAATCAAAAACCTTTCCTTTTGTTTTTTTTTTGTTCACTCTTCTTATTTAATTTTTATTATTTGTTCTATTATTTCTCATCTTAATATATATAAATTACGTGTCACGTTGTTTGTCCGCAATGGACTCTTAAACTACTGAACCGATTTTAATAAAATTTTGCACACTGTGTGCAATTTCATTTAAATTGAAAAATAGGATAGTTTATATCTCAATTTATAATCGCAATATTATTTTATTAATCGCGAATTATTTGTTTATTAACAAAGAGTCATGATTATCTCTGTTAGTTCGATAAGATTCTAACAGATGGCGGTATAAAGTAATTCGTTGACTTAAAGACGTGTGTATCGGACTTATTGTGAGCCACAGCAACGCGTGGCGGGGTACCCCTAGTAATTAATGAGAATATAAATAAAAGTACCATTTACTTGCTTGTTAATCCAACTACAATGTTAGATTAACTAATCTATAAATATTATGAGTCAATCGAGTCAAATTTAGTAGAAAGTAATTTGAAGAAATTTAATCTAAGTATTTCAGTATTCGCAAATATGTTTCGTAGTTCGTCGTTATTAGTTCTTATCTGTCTTATTCTAATTGTTCATTTCGAAACGACAAAATGTCATCAAAATGGTATCGAAGAAATACTGAAAGAGGAAAAAGAAATGTTAAATATCACTGGAAAATCTTTACAACATAGTTCAGAAGATTCCACGGACATAAATACCTTAATTTGGCAGGAGTATGAATTTGGAACGAATGCTGGCAATCGTGATGGTAATTTATTTCTACAATAAAAAATATCTTAATTAAATTTTAATTAAATCTAAATGAAAAATTTGCATATATATATATATGTATTTGATTTATTATTATTATCGTTAGATATGCGTATAATGAAAATTAACATATTCGCGTCCGCTGACGTGAATTCACGTCTTTTCAAGTTCTATTCCTAGGTGCCGTTGAAGTGATTCACGTCATTTTAAATTTTAAAAGTTTTATACAAATAAATTTTATAATATAAATATATAATATATATATATATATATATATATTTAATTTTTAATATATAATATTAATTGAAATATATAATATTTAATATTTACATATTTATATAAATATATAAATATAAATTTTATGTATTAAATCTATATTTAATTATTTCAATATAATATTTAAATAATTATATTTTATTAAATTTATATTTATTTATTTCAATATAATATTTAAATAAAATTATATTTTATTATATATATATATATATATATTATTATATTTTATTATTTAAATATAAATTTAAATAATTATATTTTATTATATATATATTATTATATTTTATTATTTAAATATAAATTTAAATAATTAATTACTTTTGCCGGTACTCAGTATTAAAAAAGGAAAAAATGTGCCGGACCGCGAATGTGTTGTTAATATAATCTATATCAATAAACAATTTGTTTGTTATGAATGTTTTGTTTAAATCTTTATGAAATCTCTTTATAGAAGTCGTAATAACGAATATCACGATAGAAGAGGATTTAAGATTACCAAATAACGAATTTAATTGGATTTTATTTGAAAGCAATGGAAACAATTATTTAGCAAGTTCGAGAGAAAGAACGTTATTTTTGTATACCCTTGATATAAATGGTATCCCAACGTCATCAAATTTTGTCAAATATAAATTAGATGGTCGTGTGTTAGCTTTTACATTGATCGATGTTAAAAATACTACAAAATTATCCGAACAAAATGATATCATTGCTGTTGTGTGCGTTGAAAAAAATGACACGACGAGTTTACAATGGTATCGAATTTCTAATCAAAAATTAGAATTATTTTGGACATGGAATATAGAACGGCCAGCTATAGATATACAATTTGTTAAATATCGAGATCAAAACAAATTATTGTTGCTGTTTAATAGAAACGATTATGAGACACGTATTATCTCAGTAATTGATATTTACAGTTTCAATATTGATTTCGTCAGAAAGGATTATCACTTTAGGTAATTATAATATAATATTTTATGCAATATATTGTAATGAAAATATAAAAAAACAAAAAAATAACATTAATATCAATAATTGTAAAGGTTGACTCAAGAGATACAAACTTACTCGATTCGCGATATGAAATTATGTAAAATATACGAACACACGATGCTTGCACTTCTTGGCCAAAATGAAGTTTTACTTTATGAACAGAAAGAGAACGATGACGTTAATGGTATGTTCGAATTATGGCAAACGATTAAATCTAACAATTTAAATAATTTCATTTGTTTCGAGAGTGGTCACGCTCAATATTTGGCTACTTCTGGAAAAGAATCTGCATTGTTTTATTTTGCGGATAATTCATTTCAATACAATTCCAAGACCGAAGATTTTTTTAATGGTAAACAATTTGAAAGTTTTATCTAGATGATCTATATACATAGAGATACTACACATAGAGCATACAAGCCAGCATAAAACCTGTCGGCGAAATAAAAAGAGATAGAACATGGGAGGTTTATCTGTTGTCTCTCTTTAACTAGGTACATATATATATGTGTACCGCATGAGTTAGAGAGAGACAACATGAACTTTTCGTTTTTTGCTGCTATATTCATGCAGAGACATTTCCACTTACACAACCGCCTATGGTTTGTTTCCTCTATCTGTAATATCTCTATGTACACAATCGCCTATGGTTTGTCTACTCTATCTGTAATATCTCTATGTTTATATAACGATTGAAAATTTTACATGATAATAAAAAAGGGAAATCAAATGAATTAGCATTTCCAGATATTGCTTGGGTCGAAGAAATTCCTGTTGAAACTTACAGAGATGAATCATTGTTATTGGTACAATTGTTAGATTCAACGATCTATACTTTAACTTGGCAAGGTGTTCATCGATTCAAAGTAACATCCTTGCCTAACGTTTTACTCAATAAATTTGACCTTTCTAAAATAACCAGTATTCCAAGATATGGATTTGTATCTGGAAATGTATTTGTCAAAATCGATACGAAACTTAATCAACTTTCCAGTCCTATCGAAGATAAAATTATCGGAATGATTGAGGCAAAAACATTATTACAAGTACGATATTTGGATTGTTCGTTATCTATATTCGTTTGTATATATATATATATATATATATTTCAAATTGAACTGTTTTTTTTTTTTTAGGAGTTATTGAATAAACAGGAACAAATAATCGACGAGATCGATGAAAGATTTGATCTGATAGATCATATGAATTATACACAAATCAAATCATTGAACGCTTCTAAGATAATAACGAAAAATTTAAGAATGGGAAATGACGTATCTTATACGATCAATTTAGATACGAAAAATTTAACACGCGAGGATATAATAACAGATATGACATTAATCAAAAAATCATTACGAGATTTAACAGAACAATATAATCATTTGAAATTGGATTTACAGTATGGATCCGATTTAGATTCGATGATCGTAATGGATTTAAATATTTTTGGAGATTTAAAACTACGTGGTAATCTTTACGTAGAAGAATTTTCAACGAATACATTGAATGATCTACCGATGTTACAAATATTACAAGAATATTTAACCAATGATACCAATGACGTTGTAAACGGGGAAAAATCATTTTCTAATATTGAAACAAAGAATGCGATTGTTCGAAAGATCAACGGTATACCGTTAGAACAAATTATTTTTGAAGAATCTAAAGTACATTATTCAAACATGAATTTGTCTAATGATATCTATGACATAACAATAGATGGACATTTATCTATTTCCAAGATAAATAATATCAAGTGGGAAAATATTGTTTGGAAAAATAAATTAGCTTTTATACCGAATAAAACAACGATTAATGGGGTACGTAGATACGTATCTTTTATATCTTATGTTAAATAATATAATATCTTAATATATATAAATTACGTGTCACGTTGTTTGTCCACAATGGACTCCTAAACTACTTAACCGATTTTAATAAAATTTTGCACACTGTGTGCAATTTCATTTAAATTGAAAAATAGGATAGTTTATATCTCAATTTATAATCGCAATATTATTNGTTTATATCTCAATTTATAATCGCAATATTATTTTATTAATCGCGAATTATTTGTTTATTAACAAAGAGTCATGATTATCTCTGTTAGTTCGATATGATTCTAACAGATAGCGGTATAAGGTAATTCGTTGACTTAATGACGTATATATCGGACTGATTGTGAGCCACAGCAACGCGTGGCGGGGCACCCCTAGTAAATAATATAATATAAATAATTATAAATTATTTAAATTAGTATAATTTAAATTATATTTTAATATTAAAAAATATAGATTAATTAATTTATATTAGTAAATTAGTATAATAGTTAATGTTAGTTACAGTAAATGTTAGGTACATAAAATAGAATTATATAAAATTAATTAAATAAAATTATAATAATAAAATATAATTATTATATAAAATATATATTAAATGAAATAGTATTTATATATTTTATGTTATTATAAATTATAATATATATATATATATATATATATATATTATTATACGTTCCTTATATAATATATATATTTTATATATCTGCGTATGTATATAAAAGAATTTCATAATATCTTTTGTTACAGAAAATTGAAGCTAAAGAAGTCAATGCGAAAATCGTGAATGATTTAATGTATCCTTACGATTACGTCTTAGAAAAAGGTTCCATTCCTGTTTACGTTACTGGAATAAAAAATTTTGATCGACTGACTGTCCAAACCTTATCCCATGTCTCTAACATAAACAATATTCTCATAAACGAGTTCGTTACACTAGACCACGATCATATTTTCAATGAAAATATTACATTTCGTAACATAACTGTTCTTGGATCTTTCACGGTATTATGAATCATGAGATTTATCAAATATATGTCGTATGTCACGAACATGTTTTCATATTTTTTTGATATGATTATTACAGATCGATGGTAACATTAGTGGATTTGATTTATCACAATTAAAACAGGAACGATTGATCAACGAAACTCAAAGTTTAATTTCTAACGCTATTTTGTACAATTTGACAGTTTTGGGTAATGTTTATTTGGAGGATTCGATAAATGGTAACAATTGGTCAAACTTTGAGGATGTTTTATTGATGAACGATTCTAGAATCGAGATATTTGGAAAAAAAGAATTTAGAGGTAACGTTGAGATCAATGGATCATCCACTTATATCGTTTCTAATAAAATCAATGGACATGATATCAAAGAATTTCTTACTTTGGATACAGAGCAAACATTTACGAGTGAGTATTAGTTTTAAAATCGAATTTAATTAACAAATAACAACAATAAATTCATTAATTTATGTAAATCGTAACAGATTTGAAAGAAATGTCGGATAACGTGAGTTTCGATGAAGTAACTCACGAATTTGTAAACAAAGTTAGCAAAATTGTTGAAGAAGAAACGAAAGAAAATTCACATTGTATGAATAAAAGTTTCATTTTTGAAAATACATTGATCGTTGATAATCTATCATTCGATATTTTAAACGACAATATTACAAACGATACGTTCAATCAACAAATGAATTTAACTCTTCGAAGTGTCACGTTTAATGATTTAACGATTAACAAATTAAACGTTCAAGAGATCAATCCAATATTCGTAAATAATGTTAATATGAGTGAATTCATGGAATTTGCCATAACTAAATCGACTATACAAAATGTAAGTGTAAATTGTTCGTTTGAACAATTGCAAGTTGAAAATCTGGAAATCGAACGTTTCAATGGATTGTCGATTAAAGAATGGAACGATCTGATAGATCACTTGTATCGATCTTATAGGAATATTTTTGATCCTAACATTGTTACATTAGAATCTGTCATCGTTAAAGGAATGATCGATGCTTCTTCGATAAATGGAATATTATTGGATAAAATGTACGATCCGTCAACTATAGGTACTGTGATCTATGAAAATGATCTTTACGTAGAAAACCTTACTGTATTAGGTTTCATAAATAATTTCAATATCAGTGAACTCGTGAAAAATGCTGTTCTCAAAACAGACGAAGAAATTGTTATAAACGAAATGAAAGAATTCGAAAATATTCATTGCAAATTTCTACAAATAAAATCATTTAATGATCACGATGTTAAAAATATTTTAAATCCGTACAAAAATCAAAATTTAACTGGTCCTGTTGTGATAAATGGTAAGACATCAAAAGATGATTTTTATTAATAATAATAATAATAATAATAATAATAATAATAATAATAATAATAATAATAATAATAATAATAATAATAATAATAATAATAATAAT